CCGCCGGCGAACGACTCCGCCGGGTTGAGGAGGACATGGTACAACGATTTTCCGTACATTTTCGGAGGGACGGATGGGCGGACCGTGTACAAGAAGGACATCCATTACCCGAGCGAATACGTGCCCGAATCCATCGCGCCGCGGTCGGTTTACACCACCTCCAGGTCCATGAGCGAGGACCCGGCGGTGAACCGGAAGTTCAACCTGACGTGGGTGTTCCAGGTCAGTGCCACGTAATCATTTTCGATGAGTTAATGATGGATGAGAATTTTTTAATAGGTGTGTAGGCCTATAAGTTAGGGTTGGAAATTCGATGATGGTTATCTGGACAAACTGGAAATCAGAGCGTATAATGCAGTTCGGTGGGAACTAGAAACCGAATTAATACAAATCAACTTGGTTTCGATTGTGAGGGAGATTGACTATCCGTTCTAGTTTGGTTCGATGGGAACTAGAAACCGGATTAATACAAATTAACTTGGTTTCAATCGGGTTAAAGAAACTTGTATTATAGGGGTATCTGGTCCTTGTTACCAAGGGTTTTGACTTCTAGCCGGTACAAATACATTGAAATGGACAACAAGATTCAAGATTTACTAATATGAACAAGTCATACTTACGCTGTCCCTATCGTCCAGTTTTATTTTCACCGGTTACGACCAATCACCACGTCCTGCTTGATGCTCTCCGCCTTGCCTTCATTGCAAAGAGATAAAAAAAATATATGTTTTTATTTTTAAATGTATTTTTGAGTTACAATGACGTTTTGGTAAAAAAATTGTGTCATTTTTATTTTTAGGTTAAAACCCAACAGGACCATTTTCAATCCAATATGGTTAGGATTGAAATAATTTTCAATCAAATCCTTTTTCCGGGTGTAGATCATTTGACACAGTTATCACCTAAAAAATCCGATAAAACTAGTCTTGAAAGTTTTTCATCCTTACTATCTATCAGTGCTTATAACTTATATACTATAAATTTTCTGTAGCCCAAGAAAAGTGTGTCTATTAAAATTTATTGTAGCACAATGACATAGTTGTTACTATTTATATCCTCTTCCTAATTTTCTCTCCATTTTTCTTCTTTAATTTGTTTTGTTTGGCTCCCTCAGGTGGATGCCAATTTCACCTACATGGTCCGCCTCCACTTCTGCGACGGCGAGATGACGCGAGCCAACCAGCGGCCCTTCTCCATCTACCTCAACAACCAGACCGCGCAGCATACCGCCGACGTCATCGCCTGGACCGGCGGCAAAGGGATCCCCATCTACAAGGACTACGCCGTCTACCACAGCGACAAGAACGGCGACGACCTCTGGCTCGCCCTCCACCCCAACGAGGAGAGCCACCCGGAGTTCGTCGACGCCATCCTCAACGGCGTCGAGGTCTTCAAGCTCAACAGCGTCAGCAAGAGGAGCTTCGCCGCCCGCAACCCGGAGCTCTCGGCGATGATGTCACGGCACGAGGAGGACGTCAGGAAGAAGAGCTTCGGATACTCCGGCGGCGCCAACGCGCACATCATCGGCGCGATCGCCGGCGGGGTCACCGGGTTGGCGGCCGTGGTCGTGGTGTCGGCGGTCGTGCTCCACAAGAAGCGCCGGACGGTGGGGACCACGCGCTCGGGAAGCTCCAGTAATTGGCTGCCGCTGTATGGGAATTCCCACACGTCGAGCAAGTCGACGGGGTCTAGGAAGAGTACGAATAGTAGCCACTTGTCGACCATTGCGCAGGGTCTCTGTCGGCACTTCTCGTTACAGGTACGCGCGCGTTCAACATCCGTTTTCTCAAAAAATAGGAAACAAAAATGAAAGTATACAGGCCCTTAAGGATTTGCGTTGGTTTTATCGTGTGGTTACTAATGGTTTTGTTATTATATTTCTCCATGTAGGTAGAGGAAATCAAAATTACTTATTTTGCAGTGATCATTTCTAGTCATTCTAGAGTAATTAAATAATACATTACTTGTAATTACAGATCAACTAACCTCAATCGACAAGAATAAGCACGAATTAATCTTGGTTGTGAATGATAGTAATGTTAGGAGTTTTTTTTTTCCGTTGTTGGCATCAAGATTCGAATTCAGGTTATGATATATGTTCTCTTTCACACGTTATCATTAGGTCAATTTCTTGAGGTTTAGTAATGTTGTTTTATAGGACATAAACACATAGGAAATTGCTACACGTCTGCAAGTTATTATACTTGGATTGTGTAATCACTTGCTATAGTTGGCTTTACATATCACATTGCGAAAAATATGACATTTAGTACATAGTATTGACATTTAGCACAATGAATAATCTTTTTCGTAATGATATATAAATCCCAAATACACATTTGATTAAACTCCTACATTAGAGATAAATGTTATTTCATAATTTTTACATAACATATCTGTGTCTTACGTTTGCCCTTATCTAACGGCCTTACACAAGACTTTTACATAATGAAAATAATAATCATTTTATGTAACAAGTTTTACAAAGTTACGTAAAGTGTAAATGCGTTATGGAAACTTTACGTGACACGTTTTATTAAAATCGTTACTTGAGAAAGGGAGTAACTGTTGCTGTTCCAACTCTCTTGTAAATATATTTACTCTCCACAATAGTAATTGTTGTTCCAATTCTTCCTACCACAGGAAATCAAGCACGCCACGAGAAACTTCGACGAAGCCAAAGTAATCGGCGTGGGAGGGTTCGGGAAAGTGTACAAAGGGGTAATCGACGGGACAGTTGAAGTCGCAATCAAGAGATCGAATCCACAATCGGAACAAGGAGTCAACGAATTCCAGACCGAAATCGAGATGCTATCCAAGCTGCGGCACAAACACCTGGTCTCCCTGATCGGATTCTGCGACGAGGACGACGAGATGGCGCTGGTGTACGATTACATGGCCAACGGCACTCTCAGAGAGCATCTCTACAAAGGGAACAAGCCGCCGTTGCCGTGGAAACAGAGGCTCGAGATCTGCATCGGCGCCGCCAGGGGATTGCACTACCTCCACACGGGAGCGCAGTACACGATCATCCACCGCGACGTCAAGACGACGAACATCCTCCTGGACGGGAAGTGGGTCGCCAAGGTTTCGGACTTTGGGCTTTCGAAGACCGGCCCAAATCTGAACAACCAGGCCCACGTCAGCACGGTGGTGAAGGGGAGTTTTGGGTATTTGGATCCGGAGTATTTCAGGCGGCAGCAGCTGACGGAGAAATCGGATGTGTACTCGTTTGGGGTCGTTTTGTTTGAGGTTTTGTGCGCCCGGCCGGCGCTGAACCCTAGCTTGTCGAAAGAGCAGGTCAGCTTGGCGGATTGGGCGATGCAGTGCCAGAGGAACGGGAAGTTGGAGGAGATAGTGGATCCGTTGTTGAAAGGGGATATAAATCAGGAGTGCTTGAAGAAATTCGCGGACACGGCGGAGAAGTGTTTGGCCGATGCAGGGATTTATCGGCCTTCCATGGGGGATGTGTTGTGGAACCTTGAATTTGCTCTGCAATTGCAGGAGAATCCCAAGGCGGCGGTGGTCGAACAGAAAGGTGAGGAAATCGGCGGCGGCGGCGACGGTGGCGGGAGGAGGAGGGAGCTGTCGACGGTGGATGAGGAGGTTAGTGTATTGATGGGTGATGACACCGATGAGAGTGAGATTTTTTCGCAGATAGTGAACCCCAAAGGAAGATAGGGATTTTTTTTTTTTATGAAGGGCGGGACAGTGGAAAGAAGAAGAAGAAGAGAGAGTGTACAAATCGGGAATTTTGCACTTCAAAATTTGCCGCCAGCAACGAAAATGTACAAAAGACCAACAGGTAGATGGGGTGATTAAAATTTGTACACAATTTAGATATATCCTATCGAGAAGTTATTTTTTTCTCGTAAAAATCTTCTTTTTGTAACGGTTTGTAACATTTATCCTTGTATCGAAGGATACGATTGCCATGATAGGAAATTGGGTTGGGTGTGTACTTTTTGCAAAATTATATCCTCTGCTGATGTAGTTTTCTTTCTCTTTCTTTTTCTTGTATAGATGTTGATTGTGTTTTGATTCTAGACTGATCATTTACTCATTTTTCGATTCATATGTGAGAGATCATTAGGTTTGACATGTTTAATTTTGCTAAAGATTCTCTCCTTTTTTTTGTCTTACATTTTAAATGGTTCGAATAATATTAGCGGTATATATAGTGACTTGTGGTAAACTCCAAACAATTCGTATTTGGAATATGGTGGAGATTTACGGTCGATGACATTGCCGATCAGATCGACTAGTCGTAGTTAATTAGGCAATGAATGACTACAAGGTTGGTCAGGTCAACCACAAGACTAAGTAGAAAGCCGATTTCGTAAAACTATTGATGATAAATTTTGTAGAGCTCTGCCAAGTCTAACGATAGATAATTTGGGTGAAGACATTGAAGACTTCTTTACCGAAAATGATGAACATTGTAGTGACGACATTAAAAAATCACATATATAAAATCCGGACTAGAAATTTGAGTAATTTGAACTTAAAGTACAATTACAAAATACATTACCTTTTCATTGCTTAATTGACTATCTATCGACCAATTACACTACGGGGTCGTTTGGAATCTTTGATTTTGGAAATAATGTTTTACGAGGATGTGTGTATTAAAGATTATGTGTATACTAAGAATGTGTGGTTTTGAAAATTCATTGTTTGGAACTCATAAAAGAATGCATGGATTATAGTTTAAATGAACTATGGATACTAAATTCTTACCAAAAAGACAAGATTATGAATACATAATTTTCTATGTATTAGGAATACAACATGTATTATGAATACATGCATTTTGTTATTACATCAAATAAAAAACGTTGTATTCTCAAGATACATGTATACTGAGAATACAACATTTGAAATAGAAGGTTCCAAACGAGGCCTACATTCTAAAAAAATGAGTGGTGTACTCCTACTCCAATAAACCCCACTAAAACCTAAATTATAGACCCCTAAACCTTGTATTATGAACAACAAAATCCTAAATCATGAACCTTAATACCCAAAATCCTAACCTTAAAACAAACCTAAAACATGAAACCCTCTAAATCCTACCATTTAACCGCCATAATGTGGGCGCTCCATTTCCTTCCCTAGCCACCACATATTGTCACTTTCCATTGCTCAATTGCACAAAGAAAGGGGAAAAAATTGATGGTCTCGGATCCAAATACGTACTCAAAGGTTTCAACTTTCAACCCAATACAATAGTGAAAACAATTGGGCCAAAGTGCTCATTGGGTCGAGCTCGAGCCATTGCCATTTTGGCTTTTGCTTTTGATAGAAAAATCGGGAAATCGTAAAGAGTAAACCACGTGCAGAGCTATGCAAAAATACTTACCACGCCTGCGCGGGCAGCCAAAGGGTTTTGGCAACTTTCTGTACACAGGTTTGTTAGCTCTCGCTGCCGACTTCAGTCCACTGCTCAACAATGGTGCTAGGGTTCTAGAGGAGCCCGGTTCTTCTTTCGTGCAGTCCAGTTCTGCCTCTATCCTTCTTTCCTCCTGCGATTGCTCGTCCTAGTTTTAAGCTCCAAATGGAGGATTTCCCCGGCGGCGACGACGACTTCGGCGACCTATATGCAGATGTTGAACTTCAGGCAGCTTCCGCCATTAATTCCAGGACTAGCTCCGCCAAATTCCACTTCCCGTTGGAGCAACAGACTGTGATCCAGGTAGATGGTACGGTCAGTAACAGCAAAGCTGGCAACGCGAGACTCATTTCAGAAGGGGGAAACGTCTCTTCCTGTCCCAATCCGCTGAAATTGGTAAGGGATTTGTTATGTGGATCAGCATGAAATCTAAATGGCTTGTTTCAGTTTTCTTTTATTCTAGAAACTGTTGTATGGAGGTGGTGTTAAGGTTGAGCTCTGGTATTCATGGAGCAACAAATTGGAAAGCCCGAGGTGCCCAACTTCGCTTGAAATGAAAGCTTTGAGAGTTTTTTCTATAAGCTTCTAGCAATGGCGGGATATAATTGGTATTGACTAACTTTTTCCGTTGGATCTCTCAAGAAGGGTTTCTTGCTTGCCTTCTCATTTGCATTTGTTGAACGCTCTTTTGGGTTGCAGATTACTCTGTTATTCGTTTCCTTATCCTGGTTCTACTATGCAGCAAAATGACTGGGGAACTGTACCGTTGCGTTCATTTCAATCAACGAGAATGGATCTAGAGCACAGCGAGTTCTTGCAAGGCAATGTGGCAAATGTTAACCAAGTGTCTAATGTTTATGCTGCTGCCAATTCAGTTGTATCCCATGGTGGATATGGTTTCTCACTTCCACTGTATAGGTTAGTAATTCCGACTATGTTTCTGTTTCCACACACAAGTAATTCGTTTCTGTCGGTGAAGGTTGCAGGTTTCATAAACTTTGTGTCAAACATGTATGTGTATGTTCGATATTGTGTCTAAAGTGAATTATTTGGGGAAGGTTTGTGTTCTTATATTGAGCACAAGAGTTTCACTGGGTCCTTTGCTATGCACGTCATTGTGCAGTTTCAATAAATGAAAATTTTGATTTCATTTACTTGTGTCAGGACCATTTATGATGTAAATACTGACACGTTTGGAGGGAAAAGATGGGGGTATCAGGGAGCTAATATGTCTGTTTTACCCAAATTTGGTATCAATGAAGACTGTTGGAGACAATACTGTATGAGTGTGGTAATTTCTTGCACCCTTGAATTTATCATCAGAAAATATGCAACGTTGTGATTTTGACGTGCCACTCAGACTATTATTATTAATATTATTTGGAAGGAGATGCTCAGACTCTAGGCTGGTCATCCAGCTTGAATTCTCACTATACTGCTTGGATGTTAAGCATATACTTATCATATTTCCTTATGTCATACAAAGATTTCATCTATCGCTCGACTAAGATTATTCAGTGTTAGTTTGTAAGTTGTTTTGGGACAGTAAGGGGCTCAAGTATCTCTGGACACCTCACTTGTAGAATAATTTCTTTGAGTTGGACAAAATGCAATCTGCTACTGTTTCATTTCATAGTTATGACTATTGTTGATGGAACGAGCTGGAAGACTCTATTTCAATACATGTAAATATGCTGATACGTGTGACACCTTGTTGATGGTTTCAGCCAAAAGGTCGAGCAATTGAGGTGGAAGATAGTGGTGGTGAACGTTTTCCCACCATGAATCAGAAGTATCCAGACAATTGGGATTCTGATGTGGTTATTCAGGTACATATTATAGGTCTGTGTGCCACCATAATCCACATATATATGCTAACCGTGTTGTGCTCTTTTCTTATTGCTTCATCATTTTCCAGATCAAGGTGCAGGAATTTGATGAAAATTCAAGTGCATTTAGCAAGGGGGACTTAAGCAGTAAAAGTAGCGGTGTTAAAGGGTTAAAAACCTGCAAGAGAAGTGCTGATGTTGTGGCGGAAGCCTGCCATTCTTGTGGGGCTAGTGGAGATCGAGTGTCTTTGGGATCTCCATCTCCAGAAGGAACTAGGTATTCTTCCTTAGCAAGGGTTGATTCATTTGGCTGTTGTTATATTGCCTTCTATATTTGCCAGCAAGAAGGGCTTAATCGATTTGTATAATTGTGTAAAATCCCTTGTTTCTCTTTACAAATGGCAGAAGTTAAACGATCGATATTTGTCTTATGTATGATTAGGTCGTCCAAGTCATTGTTGGAAATGAGTGAATCGTCTCAGCATCTTGATAACAGTGAGAGAGACCATATCCCTGATTCCGATGAGCATCACCCTCGCAGAACTCGAGCTAGAACTTCAGATCTTGCTGAAGCCGTTGAAAGTGAGAGAGATTCAAAGGATGAGTCTGGAAGGAGGTCGAGTCAGTCAGATCGGCATCAGAGTGATAGTGACTCACTGATCGATGATAGAAGTCACTTTAGCTTGGCTCTATCTTGCTCTGAAAGTGATTCTGAAGATAGTTGTCATGGTGTATCTAGGTGTTCATCTTTGGGAACCGAGTTACATGATACCGTTTCATCTGGCCACTGTAAAAGTAATGGCACAGGACAAACAGATAGTGACCGAAGACACATTACAGATGGCAGCCTCTTAAATGGGAGACGGAGGAGTGAAAACAGAAGAGACCAAAGAGTAAAAAATGAGCGTGATTTAGACTTCCCCAAAAGGAGTGATCCCTCTTACTCCAGATTCAGAGAAACTTTTCCTGGAGATGGCGGTCAAAGGTGGGGTACTGGCTATGCTGAAGCTGATTATAGAGAATATCCTCAGAGTAAGCGCCATCGGAGTCTTGAAGGTGAGGCTTATATCCGGGACAGAGCAAATTGTAATCAAAGTGCACATCGTCAGGATAGAAGGATAAGTGAGATATTACAACCGAAACATAGGTATGGCTCATTGTATGAGGAATATGGAAGGTGCAGTCCATTTTCAGGGAGGGAAATCAATGTATGTGAAAGAGGGCTTAGACATGGTGACAAGGCTAGACTGGATTCGGATCGTCTATGGAATGAAGAAAAAATGGAAAGAGATTATTGGAATGACTATCACCAGGATGGGAACAACGGGAATCAAGACGCAAGCTTCAGGTCCCACACAAGATCTTATGCAACCAATCACAGTAGATGGCAAAATGGTAATATTTTTAAAAGGTATGATCCTTATGAGGCAAGGGTGATGGAGACTTATTCTAGGCCGAGGAAGGAACTATATGATTCTGGTACCTATGGTGGTATCTTTGGCAGTGAAGAGAATTTGGACAGTGGTTTTGATGATCAACATGAACTTGCAGAATCGAAATATGTTTGGAGATCGAGACTTCATAAAGGAGAGGAATCTAAGTCAAGGCAGGGAGGTGTTCAATCCTACCTTGATAGGTTTTCTTGTTATGGAAAAGCTCTCAGACATGAAAATATAACTGGGTATGAGATATTAAGAGAAAGACATTCAGACAACTTAGTCGAAAGCAATCTCACATATAAATGTGAGCGTGAGAAGATGGTTGGGATGTACTTTAATGGTCCAGTTGGCTTGGTTTCCCAGAAAGAGAAGGTATAAACATGTGGAAATTTAGGTCTAGATGTTTGATGTCTGTTCCGTGTATTAATGCTCTGCTTTTTTTCCTCGTCCCATGCCATATAATGTCTTTGTTGTCTTACATGCTGCTGCATCTCGTACTTTCCGCATCCATTTTCGAAGTTGTTATGACAATTGGCAACACGCTTCTTTTGTATTGGATTCAATAGGAGTCTGCGTGGTTTTGGTGAGGTCCAGAGTTGGACTGAAACAGCATAAGTTGATCTGAAACCGCATCCAGTCTGATTAGTCCCTTCTGGTCTCTTCTTTCTTAGGTTTTAAGAGGGTCTATGGAATCAAAACCGAACAGAACTATGTTTAGTCTGGTTTGATTCGATCCAAACATTGATTTGGTTCAGTGAACCGATTCATTGCACACCCCTTGCTTTCAATGCTATTACTGAACATGCACTAGTCCAGTCTAACCGTTACGCTGTGTTCTTTATCATCTCTCTGATGTTCAAAGGGGAATGAATGTTTTGAAGGCCAGGTAAAATAATTAGTTTCTTGTCTTTACCTAGCTTATTGTTCATGACAAGGGAGAACCTTATAGCTCTTTATATCTTGACATCCCTAAGTTCATTGTAGTAGTTTGAAATCTATCTGCAGAAACTTAAAACCTCGGTCATAATGTTTCCCACTGGCAATATTCTATGCAGCTATCTGGCAAACAGCCTACCACAGGGAGGCAAATTCCCAAAAGTAACCCAAAGAAGAAAAACCAGAAACGTTTGAATGCATCTCTTTCTGGAAAAGCAAACATAAGGCAAGAGAAGCCACAAACTCAAGGCAACAATGATGTTATGAAACGGCTTGGGGCTACGTTCCAAGGAAAGGTGCAGAAGAACGAGTCAGATATCGAAGAGGGCGAGATTATAACCGGAGAACCCAATGCGAAGAACGTTAAAGCACCTCAAAGCGAGAAGGCTGGTTCTTGTAATACCGTGACTACCAAGGCAGTGTACGATGAACAATGGATACTCGAGAGGTTGGCCAAGATGGAGAAACGAAGGGAGCGTTTCAAGGTGCCTGTCTTATTTCCGGAGAAGGTAAGTACTACCGATCTTAATCCGCCTTCTTGTTCTCAACCTCAGGTTGTTCCGTCGGTTAGTACAGGCCAGACTAAGCTCGAACGACCAGCCAGAAAGAGGCGCTGGGCCGGGATTTAAGTCTTCAGTTGGCCAAGCATTATTTCATTGTTGTATGGTCCTCTGAAAGGGGAACAGTTTTGTCACAAAGAAACATACAGTTTTACGTGCAGGAAGTTCGCATGCTAAAATTTCTGTTCTTCGTTTCCCGGAATATGACTACTTGACTAGCTAGTTTGATCATTTGATCGTTTCTCTGTGACTAAATAAAGTTTCGAGAAATGATGATACCATTTCCGTTTGTTTCGCTCCAATGTCCCGTTCACTTGCCATTTCATATTCTATTTTTGGTTATCACAACAAAAATTAGGAAACACAGGTAAAGAAACATGTTCACTTGTCATTCTGTTTTTGTTTAATGATGTTAAAATGACGTTTTGTGGAATCGGGGACACGGGAAACTGTCTGTTTCTCGGCGGAAAGCGTGTCCGTACATTTAATGAGATACGTGGTTCAAACCCCAGAAGCCACATTCATTTTTTCTTCTTTTTCCCTCTGCTTTCCATCCCCCAACCGAGTTCCCCCCTTAGCACACAGCAGCCGCCCACCCTGTTGATCCTTTCGCCGCCTTCGAAGCTTCCCAGCAGCAGTAGGCGTAGCGGCCAAACTCCTTCCCTTGCAATCGCTGCTCCGTCGAAGTTTCCCATCATCAGCAGCAGGTGCAGAGGTCGAAGCTCCCTCCTTCGCAGCCACCCGCTCCATAGAGGTTTTCCAGCAGCAACTGGCAAAATCTGCCTCCCTCTGTTGAAGTTTCCCAGAAGAAGCCGTCCGCCCTAATAGTAGCAGGAACAAGGTTCCCAGCAGCAGGCTCAGCTAGCAAATCTGTCCCCCTCCGTCGACAGTCCAATGGCTAGCAATTATATAAATCGGTTATGCAGTCGGCAAATCTACCTCCCTCCGTCGATAGTTCAATAGTTAGCAATTATATAGTTGTGTGTTGTTTGATTGCATTGTGTATTTTAAATAGATGTTAATTTCCATGTCGAGGACAATGTTGAATGATTGGGTGTGCTTGTGTTCAATTTCTATTACTTTAAATTAGTTCATTTGTTCTTAAATCGTTGGTATGTTATTTTTGAATGATAGTTTGATAATCATGACTAGATTTGTATGATACTCAATGAAATTTTTTTTGGTAAAAGTATCATAAAACAAAATGAAGTAACTAAACAGATTTTCATTTTCAATAATCAGTTTTAGTATCCATAAAAATTTTCAGCTAAATAAGTTTTTTTTAGTTTTGTTTCTCAGAAAATGACAACTTCATTTTCATTTTAGCTTGTTTTCTGTTGCGGAAATTATAAAAAACGAAATGACATGTGAGGTAAGGTTCGAAGTGTGTACATTCTGCGATCGTAGCACAGGACCTGTTTGAATTGCTCTAGCACGGGCTTTATGATCTAGTCTGGTTGCCCTTTTTGGGCCGTAATGAGTTAAGGCCCACATGAAGCCACTTTATATAGTTCTCTGTCTCCGTTGAAAAAAATAGGGCTAGTTGATTACTTGTCTCTTACGGTTAGGGATGGCAATGGGTCGGGTTGGGTCGGGTTTTGTCAAATCCAAACCCAAATTCATGGGTTTATCTGTGAAAAAAACTCGGGGTAAAACCCACTGGGTTTGAAAAACTCAAACCCAACCCAACCCGCTGGGTATCCGCGTGTTCATGGGTACCCACGGGTTTTGTCGTAAAAAATTTACAATAAAAAGTTTCTATTAAAATTAAAGTCAAATATCAATCTCTCAATACAAATTATCCATATTTATAATACTATTCTAGAAAATTCAAGCAAATCACAAATTTACTATACAAATTGTTCAACACCAATCTAGAAAACTCAAGAAAATTGAAGCACAAATTATTCATAAATAACATGATTAATTAAAAGCTTCTTCCTTTCAATTAAGTTTCTTCACTCTCCACTCGATAACATCAACTTCATTCTACACAATTAGAAAGAAAAAATTAGACATGTCTCCACAAACATAAATAAGATTAGTTGTTTAGAATATTAAATATACTGAGAAAATTAATTATATGGGTGTGGGCGGGTACCCATGGGTCGGGTGTACCCAAACCCAACCCAACCTAGTGAATAGTGAACGGGTTTAAACCTAAACTCGACCCAACACCCGTCAACACGGATTTTACCCGCATTGACCGGGTTGGGTCGGGTGGGTACCCGTGGGTTCGGGTTTTGTTGCCATCCCTACTCACGGTGCCCTCCCAGATAAACTGCGAATTCAAACCATCAAGATCGTTGTAGAAAAAGAACTTCCCTCTACCATGAAAAGGCTTCAAACAGTTGAACAAGAAAAAGAAAATTATGTTCTCCGTCAGCTTCTTCTTCCTCTTCCTGTCGGCGTTCAAATTTGATAGAACCAAGGATTTGGCTCTATCTAGAGATGGAAAATTAGGGGATCAATTAAAGATCGATCTCCCAATTAGAATTAAGGATTTGGGATTGGGAAGTTGAATTAGGCTCAGTTTGATCATGCGGTAGCTTTTGCAGAAACAGATTCTGGCTTGAACTTTTAGAGAAGTACTTAAAAAAAATAGGTGAGTGTTTGGTTGAAAATTTATTTAAAGTGCTTTTTAATGTGAGATGTTGTGTAAAATAACTATAAAGGACTTATAATATAAACTATGAATCATAACTCTAAACAATAAAATGTAGTAAAAAAATGGATCTTATTTAGACTTCTTTTATATTAAATAATATGATTTTATACTTTATTTTATTTTTAAAATGATATAAATGAAAGAAAATTATATTTTCTGAAATAAAATTAAAATATGGTAAGGATAATCTTGTATTTTCAAAACAGCTTTTCGCAGAAGTTCCAAATCGGAGCTTCTCCTTTTATGTTATACAAAAGCGGGTTTGGCCTTGTTTCAACTTTTGAATCTGAAAAACACTTCTAAAAGTCGGACCAAACATAGGCTTAGAGAAGAGGCGAAGAGAGGAGAGAGCTGCTACCGCAGCTGGAAAAAGGAAGGGGTGAGGACGGCAAGAAAGGGAGAGAGGAAGATTAAGACTCAATTAGGTTTAATATACTGATTAGTGGGATAAAGCTCACTTGCTAACTATTTATGTAATCTGTTAATTATTGAAGGGAGTTGCTATTTGTCGTCCTAAATATTTGAATTTATCGCCCTAAAACATATGAAATTACTTAACTATCCTCTGTTTAATTTTATGTTTAGAAACCCTTGAATTTAATAACCAAGCCACCACCACCCGTCCTTCGCTTAGCATCCGGCCATCCGTGAACTAATTCCCCAAAGGAAACTGAATGGACGCCGCCATCACTCAATTCCCCATGCGGGTTGCCTGCCCGCTTCATCCCACTCCACATGTGGCCACCACCTACTCCTGACGTCGACGCCGCGGGTTGAAAACCCGCCGTCGGCATGGTATAAACAGGTCGGAGACCGCCTCTATCCCGCATGCGATAGGTTTTCGACGGCGACGCTGGTTTGAACTCGGCGACGACACTGTCTGTGTGTTGGGGAGAGGGGAAGGGGCATGTCTGTGCAGGGTCAGAGACCACGACTTCTTGTAGGCGCGTTATTTGGCGGGATCTCGACGGTGGCGCTGGTTTGAACATGGCGGCGGCTCTGTGTATGTGCTGGGGAAAGAGGAAATTAAGGACGAGAGAGAGGGAAGGGCTGGTCAATTATTAAATTGGGGGCAATGTTGTCCGTGTGGTAAGTTTAGGGCGAAAAATTCAAATATTTAGGGCGATGAATAGAGATTCAATTATTGAATGCTACACCAAATATTAAAATTCACAAATAATCCCCAATACTATCCAAGAATTCAAAACAAATAACAAAACGACAAAATGACAAAAGTATGTAAAAGTTCATGTTTACATCAAAATTCAAGGTTTACACTCGTCAAGATGTCGAAAAAGCCTCTCAATGTAAGAAACTGATGTAGCACAGCTGGAGGACTTGATTGAAGAAGCTAACCGTGTGGAAGGAGGATTTGTTTAATTGTTATTCTTTAATGTTTTGTGTTCTTTTCCTAGTTGGTTTCGATACTTAGTTTTTCAATAGGTTTCATATTTAGGGGTCGTTTGGTAATTGCGATTGTTTTGTTGAGATTGTTACTATACATATATTGTTTAGAATGCATCGTTTTTTTATTTGTTTAGCAGAAACAATGCATAGATTGTTTCTGTGATGTGACAGAAACTATCACTCAAAATGAGTGATTGTTATATCTCAACTTTTCGTTGTGATTGTTGAGATAGTTGAGTTGAGATTGTTTTGTCTCAACTTTTAGCTTATGTGACATAAACAATCAGACATACCAAACGTTGTATTCTACAATGCATCAAATTCGACAATACATGTATAATATTATACATGTATTCACAACAATACATCCATTTAACAATCGCAACTTCCAAACAACCCTTAGTTGTCTATTTAAAGACCTTTTGTTTTGTAGAAAAGACCAACTTCTTACTTTTGATTAATTAATTAAACCAAGGGTTGCCATTCTCGGTGATTCCGAACTTTTCTTCCACATTTGCGCTTGCAGACTTTGCTTGTTAATTGGAGACGAGTGTTTGCGAGTCTCGAGGAAACCCAAGGGTTGCCATTCTCTGTGGATTCCGAACTTTTCTTCCAAGTTTGCGCTTGCAGACTTTGCTTGTTAATTGGAGACGAGTGTTTGCGAGTCTCGATGGTTTCCGACTACGTCAGAAACGTGGCTTAGCCGTGGAGGGTAGAGGAGCGAGACGACTAGGAGGGGTATTCTGGGGAGTTTGTTATTTTAAGGCTGGAACTTGTTATTTTGAGGATTAATGACAGAAATATTGTTTATTTTTTAATTTACCACGAATATGGCCAATTAAAAACTATTGACAAAGATATTGTGGTTTTTAGTAAGGATTGGGGCGGGACCACCTGAGACTCAGGCGGGACTAAATCTTTACCCAGTCCTGGGCCTGGCGCCCCAGTCTCAAGCGGCCCAGCCTCAGACAAATTTTTTTAATTAGTCTGAGGCGCTGGCGCCCGAGACTCAGGCGGGAGCGCCCCAGACTAATTTTTTTTAAAATTCGGACGGCCCCTCCCCACACCACACATTCCTCCCTTCTTCTTCCTCCCCCAACCCACCAGACCTGTCCTCCTCCTCCCTTCTTCTTCTTCCTCCACCCCAACCCCGAACAGAGACCAGCCGCCCGCACCGCCCCAGACTTAGGCGCCGCCGCCGCACACTCGGGCCCCGCCGCCGCAGACAGGAGCGCCGCCGTCCCAGACTGAAGCGCCGCCGCCTTGGACTGAACCGCCGCCGCCCGAGATGTCCTCCGACGAAGAACCAGTCGCCGCCGGCAGAGGCAGAGGTAGAGGTCGGCGAGGTCGTGGTGGAGTCGGCGGCCGTTTGCGCGGTGAGACTCTGGTCGGCAGCTTGATTTTTTTTTAATGTTTTGTGTTTTTTTTAATGTTTTGTTGCTTTGTTTTTGCAGTTCCGAGGCTTATGGATCCTTATTCGATGAGATTACCGCCGGCGACAATTGATCCAAGTCCGGTCGATCCGACACTTCTTTGGGGACATGGCCAACATCGTATCGACTATGTTTGGACAAACGAGGTAAGTATTTGATAATTATTCATGTAAAGTTAATTAGCTAATTAGATTATTTTAGGTAGTGAACTGAACTGTTAGGTGAAATTAGTATAATTTTATGTTAGATAAGACAGATTAGAATTTATTAGGTGAAATTAGAATTATTACGAATGAAAATGAATTAATATAAGTTTTGTGCACTATAGGCTGGTGATCGACCGTACCATGTTCGAGGTACGACCATTTTAGTACCTTACCATGAGCTTTATCGGCCATATCTCGAAGCGGCAGGCTTGTTAAGTGTCGTGCCCCTAGTCCCTATGAACCCCGATGCTAGTTTGATTACTGCGCTCGTAGAGCGGTGGCGCCCCGAGACGTCGACCTTCCATCTACCGTGTGGTGAGATGACGATCACATTAGAGGACGTTGTTACACTGTCCGGTCTGGCGATCGACGGTGTGCCGTCGTAGTTGATATACCGGATGAGGAGTGGTCGGCGATCTGTTTGAGACTGTTGGGACGAGTTCCGGCTGATCTTGTAGGCAGTGTCGCTGTTGTTAGGATTGTTTGGCTGAGGGTTGAATTCAGTCATCTGCCGGAGAATGCATCACAGGAGGTTATAGAGCAGTTTGCACGAGCTTATGCTCTATCTCTGCTTGGAGGTGTACTTTTCTCGGATCGGTCTGGAAGTACGGTGCACCTACAGTACCTACTTCTGATTGAGGATTGGGAGAGAGCTGGACGGTTTGCATGGGGAGCTGCTGTTTTATCCTACCTGTACCGTGAGATGGGTAGGTCGACTTTGCACATTACGCATACCGGCACTTCTCTTAGCGGTGACCTTGGTGGATGGGTCGCCCTACTGCAGTTTTGGGCGTGGGAGCGATTCCCACATCTGGCACCTCGAGAGAGGAGACGAGGGCACAGGCCACCGAGGATGCATTCCCACGTGGTCTTCGATGGCTTTCGGCCAACAGTCGTCAGTATGGTGACCAGCTATTCCAGTACAAGCTGTGGTTTGACGCGATGGACACCGTGGTGGTTAGTATATAACATTTCATTTTATATAATAGTTTTCATTTGTTTTATTTTTTTAGATTTAGGGATAATAACGTTAATTTTTGGATTTAATGTAGTGGCAACCTTACTTTGAGAGAGCACTTCATCTCAGAGGTACTATAAACAAACAACAACATCTCAAACAACAACATCTCAAACAAACAACATCTCAAACAAACAACTTTTACATGGTAAATCAAAAGATAACAACAACATACCAAACAACAACATCTCAAACAAACAACAACTTTTACATGGTAAATCAAAAGAAATATAACAACTTCTACCACCTCTCAGCCACGTCTATTACCTCTACTTCCTCTTCTACCACCTCTCGTACTTCGTTGGCCACCACTCCCTCCTCGGTTGCTCCCACTCCTACTAGCTTGGCCACCGCAAGTTGATGCATTATGTCCCGCTTGGTTACAGTTGCTGCACACTTGGTGTGATGCACCCTCCCTTGGCCAGTCCATCTCGTTGTGGATCCTTGTAACTCGTGGCCTCCCCGGCTTCCTAATCATGTGCACATTAGGATGGAGAATAGGACCAGTATGTTTCTTCTAACCCTTAGGTTCACCAAGAGGTGCGAAACTTGTCCCATAACAAGCCATCACTGTTTCCAGCTTGTAGACATTGTTGACAAACCTATACGCATTAGCCCCCATTCGGTTGCAAGCTGCAATGGCATGAGAGCAAGGAATTTTATTTCCTTGAAATTTACCACAAGTGCAAAATCCTGCCCGGTTTTGATCGTCAAAGTGAACTGTGAGTGTGTTTGACCCTGTCATGTTGAAATTGTTGGGAGGAGTCTGAACTACATAGATGCCTTGACCTCGATCAAGAGCTGTCACAGAATGTCCAATTGCCTTTTGTGACCTGTACTTCATCAGCTCTTCGCACTTGGTGGAGTACTGTGAACCGCCACTTCTAATTTCTGCTCCTGTCTCCAACCTATACTTATCGAATTTCTCCACCAATCGCCAATAGGTATGCTGCACAAGAGAAGCTATCGGAAGTGCACGAATACCTTTGAAAATACCATTGACGCTTTCTGCCATGTTGGATGTCAGGATAGACCAACGACCCCCACCATTGTAGTTATCATGTGCTAAACTCCAACGAATCTGATGTTGATCCACCCAGTTATCACATGAAATATTTCTATCAGCGGCCACCTTCTTAAATTGCTCAACTTGACGATCAAACTTCTCCAACCGTTTTTCTCCGGCTAACAAAATAAACCACAACACGTGTTAGATAAATTCATGACAAAATTACATGAAAACAAATAACAAAATTAAATGAAGAAAGCTTACCGACTCGAAATAGTTGATTATACATAATTTTGCTTCGAGTCTTCCTTTGCAAATTGCTTGCATAGTGTCGCATGCACCACCTCCACTCCCAACCTCTTCCGATGTTATTCATGGCTTCATAGAGTCCTGCATGTCTATCTGAGATGATGCATACATCATTTCGATCAGTCAAACCCTGAACCTTCCTCATGAACCATGGCCAACTCTCAGTATTCTCGCTCTCCACTATGGCAAATGCAATTGGAAAAATCTTCCTCCGGCCATCAAATGAGCTCGCCATGAGTAGCACTCCTTTATACTTCCCAGTAAGAAATGTTCCATCCACAACCATGACGCCTGAACAATTCTTGAATCCATCTATACAAGGTCCATAAGCCCAGAATACTCGCTGAAATATTGAATGACCGGGTTGAGTCGAAGGAACTGTTACCCAATCAATCACCGATGTTGGCATTTTTCTCTTGACCACCCGCAAGAATGTTTACAAAAAATCGTAGGATTCTTCCCAATTTCCATGCAACTTCTCCAATGCTCTTTGTTTCCCATACCAAGCCTTCTTGTAAGTAACTTGCATATTAAACTTATCTTTCAACTCGGCTTGAACAGTTAGAACACTCAGATTTGGTTGGGCACGTACCAAATGTTTGACGGC